TAGTTGTGGGGACACCAAGAGAGTGAATAGCCTGGTGTGGCAGAGGACCCAGGAATCTTCAATTCAACTGCACAGCTCATTCTATGTAATATTTTACTTTTCCAATTCCTGTTCATGGAAAATGTCAGTGTTCTACAGTCCCAACAATCTCACTCCATTGAGTTCCTGATGTTCTGCATAATTACATTACACTGATTCCAGGTTATGAGAAATTGTATTTAAACACACACTTTGGCACATTTGAGGATTTGTATGAGAGACATGCTCACATTACCTTCACAAATCCAAAATTTTTCATCCTCCTAAGTGAAATTCTATACTCTGTACATAGTAACTTCCCATTCCCCTCTTCACTATTAGGCAGAACATCATAATTTATAATTTATATGGAACATTTTTGGATATCCATTGTTCTGGCTGTTTGTATAAACAAGAATATAGTTTACCAGAATTTATCTGACTTGTGCACAAGGGACAATAAGATCTTTCAGAGCAGAACATCAAAACATAATTTAGTGCAAAAAAATGAAATTCAGTGAAACACGTGCAACAGTTGCTGAAGGTCTGAAGTCAGTTTGATTTAGCTAAATTTAGAAATACATTTATATGACACTATTGCTTCTTATGTAATAAAAGTTCTGCCTATTGGTTTCATGATTGACATTTCAAATATATTACTAATTTTTATTCTGAGGTGGCCCAGGTTTGGAAAAAATCTTGGTTTTTTTCTTGTTTTGCATTTTAAAGAATTGAAATTCAGAACAATTAAATGGTTCCTAAATAGTCCTGCTATTGAAGTTCATTGCCAGCATCAGAATACAAATTTTCTGATGTAGTTCTTATTCTGGTTTGGGCAAAACAGATTACCTCAAAAGCAATTGCTAAAAGATTAAGGAATAAAATATCCAAGAAATTTGTACTGCATGCCACACAAGAACAGTTGTCACTAACCTTTGTATAATGTCATGATCTATAGTATTTGCAATAAATTAATAACATGTCTGAGCTACTAATATCTTATTTTTCAGGACAATGTTTCTGGTTTACATTCTAGAAATTTTTCCTGTACAAAACCAAAGGGTTTATAATTGAGTCACTCAGTGATTTCATTAATTACTCACATAATTTTTTCTTGTTCTATGAAATATAGAGAGCCAAAAAATCTGTACTTCCAAGAAGTCCTTTAAAATTAACCAATAACAAATGCTGGTGGAGCTGTGGCATAAAAGGAAGCTTTCTCTACTGTTGGTGGGAGTGTAGACTGCTGCAACCACTGTGGAAATCAGTGTGGAGACTCCTCAAAAAACTGAAACTAGAGCATAAATTTGACCCAGCTATTCCCCTTCTTTGTATCTTCCCAAAAGAATTTTAAAAATCATATCACAGCAATATATGCACACCCATGATTATAGCAGTAAAATTTATAATAGCTAAATCTTGGAAACAGCCCAAATGCCCACCAAAAAACAAATGAATAAAGATGTGGTTTTATTTTTTTTAAATGGAGCACTACTCTGCCATAGATAAGGATAAATCTGAGACACTTCTACATAAATGGGTGGACTTGAGACCACACTCTTAAGTGAAATAAATTGGACTCACATGTTTAAATATTACATTGTTCCTGTGGTGTGAGAAACTAAAAGGATAAATAAGGAGCTAAGTGTACAATAGACTTTGGGAAAAAGGAAGAAAATGTCCAGATGAGATAGGCAACAATGGCATGGGGACAGAGAAAGAAAGGAAGAGAAAGAGTAAAAGAGAATAGCAGGAAAAAATGGAAACTAAACTTTCATAAATAAGAAGAGGAAGAGTGGTTGAAGTTGGGGAGGGAATTGGGGAAAAAAGATGAAGCAAGTATTATGTACAGGTACAAATCTCCTGGCATGAATATGATCATTATATATTAGTAAAGTGTATCCCAAATTAATAACAGAAAACTATTTAAAAAGAAATCTTTTCATTTTTTCTGTTGATATTTATTTTGACTACTAATTCTCTATCACCAAGGGAATTAAAAGAGGACCAATGGTTTCACATTACAAATGACGGTGGCTTTAAAAGTATGTGTGAGACAACTTCAAATCTCCATCTGTTCTGGATTAAAGTAATGGCAGAACATCCTGATATTGCTTCAAAAGCACTGAAAAGCCATTTCCAACAGCATATTTCTGTGACACATGGATCTTTGAAGTAACAGCAACTAAAATGAGACAATGAAGTAGGCTGGACATAAGCAATATGGTTAGGGTGTCATTGTCCCCAGAGGGGACCATTTAGTTACAGGGAAACAAGCTCAGGTTTCCCACTGATTCTGCACTATGGAGAGTTGCACAATGTAATAATAGTGGAAATTAAGTGATCAATAAATGTAATGCATGAGGGGCATCCCCAAACCACCTACACTCCACAAGGTGTGTGGAAAAATTGTCTTCTCTGACACTGGTACCTGGTCTCAGAAAGGGTGAGACTACTACTGCTCTAAAGTGTAGTAGAATGGTCAGATATCCATGTATTTATGTTTAGTTAATATATATCTGTGAGTACATATATGTTCCATAAAAAGTAAAGAAACAAAAATCTCATGTCTCCCATGTAGAAATCTTAAATATCATGTGTACACAGGGTCATTAATTTTTATACATATGAAAAAGTATTGAAATATGACACATCTGTATTTGTGAGAATAAAAATGTGTCAGCACAAACAGTAGTACTTGTCTAGTTCCAGATTTTTTTAAATACTAGAGGTATCCCATTCCTGGACCCAAACACTAACAGCAGCCACATCAACCCAAGCTACACACTTGTCTGATCAGAGTATGTGTACATGTTCAGTGGACTTCAAACACAAATGAGCACACTGTTTGCAGACACTAGTTTCATTTTTAAAAACTGAAACTGTCCTTCATCATGCCATATCAATCACCTGTGACCAAATGAAAAGAGTACTGAGGCTGTTTTCCATGTCTTCTTCATCAAGACATAAATGCCCTGTCTCTTTCTTCACACAACTTCTGAGCAAGACATGCAGGATGCTTCCCCTCTAGTCAGAGATAGTGGAACAGAGCCTGAAAAGATAGAGGGTACTTTGTCTCACCCCATTATGGCTTATACTGTGTTTGGTGTCTCCCCAAAGGCTCACACGCTGGTTTGGGGTGTGTGAGGTTGTATTAGCCCACTGATGGGGTTAGTGGAGTTCTGAGTGTGGATTATGGGTTTACTGAAGAGGGAAGACCTACTCTTGGTGTGGGAGGCAGCAGTCAATAGGCCAGTAACCTTGATGGAAAAAGAAAGGAAATGAAGGAAGGCTGACAGCCTCCTTCAACCATGCCATGGACTGTTTCTGTCTGGCATGCTTCCTTGGCTCAGAGCCAGCTATGGACTGAAACCTTTATAAACTGTGAGCTTAGATAAACTTCTGCTCCTTCAACTGTGGGAGTTGAGTATTTTGTCTCAGAAACAAGAAAGTAACTTAAGACAGCCCCTCTCTGGTGAATAAGAAAAACATAAATTGACTAAAATAGGACTAAGTATTCTTTCCAATTTATCTTTAATATCAGGAAAAATTCAATAGAGAACAGAAGTTATAGAAATGGCTGCAACTAACAAACTAAACTCCATGCAGATTTCCATGTTATTTTCTTAGTTCTTGGCTTTTTGCAGTGGAGAACATTTGATCCATTTCTGGGATGTATGGTTTTTTCCTGCTTCTGGGTATTGATGCTGCTGATCTGGAGTCCTGAATTCACTTCTGTTTCCTTAGTTTGCTAGCATGATTAGTTCTGGAACCAAGCTTGTAATCCAGAGCACCTGAATATCAAAGCAAATTTCCCCTTAAGAAATAATGGAAGCTCAGGTGATTCATTACGTGACACAAAAATATTCATATAAAATGATTACAACACTATAGTGATATATAATGTACCAAATAAAATATAAAGGAACATAAACAAGTTATCCCATACTTACTTTTCAAACCTTTCAGCCTGGTGTGAGGGAGACAAGAGAGAAGAGGGTCATTATGTAGGATGACTTTCACTATCAGTAATGGAATTACTGCTATCTTTTGGCTCAATGGAATCATTTTCTTTTCCTGCAACTTTAATGAGAACCTATATAGAGACACTTCATTTAGCCTCATTCTGAAAATTTTGCTGAAATGTGACATTGCATTTTTGTTAGACAGATTCCTTGTTTGCAATTCTATAGCCTTATTTGGTTGATTCTTTTCTAAAAATTTTGGAATCTTTTCCACATTTTCCACATCTTCACTAATCTCATTTGAAGTGACAGATTCTTTCTTCTTTTCCCCTCCTCCCCTACAGACCAAATCTCCCCCATAGCCTCTGGCAATTGGAAGACAATCACCCACTAACTGACAATGGGTGGGGTCAATGGCTCAGTTGTGTTCTTATGATGTTTCATGTCACCTACTAATTATATAGCAAAACATCACTCATTTATCAAGTTAAACTTTATTAGAAAAGTTTCCCTGTCTTGCAGAACAATCATAGACCAAGTTACTCACAATCTAAGATTACAAATATAAATATGTTTCAGAACATATGTGAGACCTGAGGACTTTATTCTAAGACAGGGATAAAAGAACAAATATTGTTTAATTTCATGTATATGAATAATCTAGTACAGCCAAGTTCATAGAGAGAGAAAGAAGCATAGTGGTTGGCAGAAGCTTGACAAAGACATGAAGAGGAAGTGGTTAAATGGGTACAGACTTTCAGTTGTGCAAGATGCAGAGATTTCTGGAGATGGGTTTCCAATGTGAATGTGCATAGCACTGGTGAGCACTATACTTCAAAGTAATAAGGATGTGAGATTTGATTTTAGGTGCATTTAACTGTAATTTTAAAATTATAAAAAACATAAAAATAAACTGAATGCACAGTCCACACAATGGAAGAATATTTTGGCAAAATACACATCTGACCAGTGACACTGTTTGGGAATCGTAGAAAGAAATGCACAGAGACACCAAAGTTGGGTAGAAAAACAAAGCTTTACTCATGAGCAGGCAGGACTGCCAGAAACTGGTCTGGTCAGAGTCCATGCCCTGTGTTCCTTGTCCATCACCGTTTATACTTTTGTCAGTCATTATCTCATCCCTAGTGGTCTTTCTTAAGTAAATAAAGTTCCAATTCCTGCTTAATGGTTAAACACAGGTGGTTTCTGTCACTGATTATAGTCCTAAACACATGACAGTTAAGGCATATACATCACAAGTTTGTTCAAGGATTCCCACTTTGTTTTTCAGAGCTAGGATTTATCTACGGTGGAGCTACAGATTAAAGGAGCTATATAACCTTCACTTTACACAGCAGAAGTAACGGGCTAAGGCAAGCTTTTAAAGGGATACACTACCTGTTTTGCCTCCATAACTACTTTAACAGCTAATGTACTAAATTTACTTTAAAACTTTTCCCTATTATTCCTCCCTTTGTCTACTTCAGGATAAATCTATCCGTAGTATGTTATATCTAACTCATCTGTAGTTCTTAATACTAGCATTTGATAGTGTTGAGCAGCAGCAATACACTGCTGTATAAATCTTGAGATCCATTGAATAACACAAGGACCAAGCATCAATACTAATATTATAACAAGAAGGGGACTCCAAAGTGGTCCTATCCAAGCTTTGTATCCCATCCAAGTAAAATTAATCCCATAAGATGGCTCTCATATCAAATTTTTCATCAAGAGCCTTGATCCAATTTTTCAGTTTGTCAAGTGATCCTTGTACTATACCAGATTCATTAGCATAAAAACAATATTTTTTTACCAAGGAATAAGCAAGTCTCTCCTTTCTGGGCCATTAGCAAATTGAAAGCATGCCTATTCTGTAGCACAACATTTGCTAAAGAATCTAACTGAGTTTCTAAAGCCTGAAGTGGAACTCAAATTTCCTAAAGATCTTTTTTTAAACTTTCTGGTTCTAAAGAAATATATTACTCCTTGTAGCCAAATGGGATCCCATGGGGTGGCATATACATAGATATAGGATTACATTGACCTTGTTTACAATTGTTACAATTACCAATGGTTCATCCAACAAAGGATCCGTTGATCTAAGCTTGTTTTCTCTTTGCAATACAATTTCTCATTAGAATAGTTCCCACAGTCAGAAGTTACCCCAGGCCCCCGTAATGTTCCTTTGGGCAGGCATCCAAGAGCATTGTAAAAGGATAGCACTGTGGTTTTCATTTTACCATTTTAAAAGTTACATATTTTTCATCAAACTTTTTTATCACTATGCTTAAACATTCACAATTTGAAAACAAAGAAACTCAGAGCAGTAGCGATCTGGCATAGCAAAAAAGTCCATGCTGCCTTTCCCAGTACTCCTATTCTTCAGACATGCATTGACTCACCAGCCTCTGGATTGGTGAGAGCAGTGCTTTGAGTAGTTGTCTTTCTTCTTTTTTTTTTGTAGTTGTCTTTGTTTCAGTGTCAGCCTTATGGTTACCATGTGTAATGAAGTTTTTGTTTTTCTGATGTCCTGAACAATGTATTACTGTGACTTTGTTAGGTTCCAACATGGCCTTTAGCAACTGTACAATTTTATTTCAATTTTTTTTATTTGCTTCCCTTCTGTTGTGAGAAGACCTCACCCTTGATGTATCATGCCATGGAGCAAATGGAGCAAATGCATAGTGAGAGTCTGTATATATTTACCTTTTTACCCTTTGTCCATCAGAATGCCTGTATGAGTGTCCAGAGCTCAGCCCATAGTTCAGAGCAGCCAAAAGGAAGGTCCTGGGCTAGGATCACCCCATCCTTTGTGGTTATTGTATATCCAGAATGACGAACCCCATCTTCCCAGAAGCTGCTCCCATCTGTGAACAGAAGGAGGTCAGCATTGGACAAGAGTGCCATTTACAAGTCAGGGCAGCTGTAAAAGAGTTCATCATTAACACTCAAGCAGTCATGACAGGGAGGGCCTGTCTCCGTGGGCAAAAAGGTAGCAGGATTTTAAAGTTTTTACAGAAATAAACCACAAACGAGGATTCTCACAGAGAAGGGCTTGATACTGAGTAACCCAATTATTAGAGAGCCAATGATGCTCCCTTGTGCTCAGCAGTTCTAGGACCTGCACAGTCAGTTCCTGACCTAAAGACAGCTTGTCTGTTTCTTGAATCAACAGATCTGAAGTTGCAAAGGCCCAAAGACAATGAGGCCATCCTTCTGCTACTGAATCTAAATTCTTAGACAAATATGCCACCACTTGATTCCATGGGCCTACTTCTTGGGTCAACACTCCAAGGGCCACACGGTCTTTTTCAGTCACATATAGAGTAAAAGGCCACTTTACATCTGGCATGCCTAGGGCTGGGGTGGGTGCCTAAGTCAATTTTAATTTTTTAAAAGCTTCCTCCTGTTCTACAGTCCAGTGCAGGTGATTCTCCTCTTGTCCATTTAGGGCTTCATAAATGAGTTAAGAGATTTGTGTAAAACCTGGAATCCAAATTTTACAGAAGCCTGCTGCCCCAAAAAACTCTCTCAGCTCCTCCTTTGTTTGGGCTTTAGGGATGGCATTAATAACTTCATTTCCTAGGCAATGAATGCCTTGTGTTATTTGAAATCCTAAATATTTAACATGCTGTACACAAATCTGGGCTTTCTCCCATGATACCTTCTATCCAGTTTTCTTGTAAGTGCAGCAGCAACTTTTTGGTGCCTTCCTAGCATCGCTCTTGGGTTGGGCTGCATAACAGTAAGTCACCCACATACTCCAGTAGGACACAACTATATTGTTCCATGGGGAAGGCAAGCAAGTCCTTGGCTAGGGCTTTCCCCAAAAGCATGGATGAATTTTAAATCCCTGTGGCAATCTGGTCTAAGTAAACTGAGTCTTTTTCCCATCACCCTGTTCTTCAAATTCAAATGCAAAGAGGGGTTAACTGAGGGGAGCATTGCAAAGGCAAAAGAAAGCATCTCTTAAGTCTAAACAAGTAAACCGTGCTGCCTCTGGGGTATTAGACCCAAAGAAGTATAAGGGTCAGGGAACACTGGGTGCAGTGTTACTGTTCTGTCATTTATAGCCTGTAGATCTTGCACTGGCCTGTAGTCGCCAATCAAGTTTTTGAACCAGCAGCAAAGGGGCATTCCAAGGTGACTTACATTCTCTTATAAGTCAAAATGCCTTTGATCTCATGACATGATGTCTGATTCCAATTTGGGCTTGCCTGGACATTGGATATTGTTTTACAGCAATGGGGGCTGAATTGTCTTCTAATTCTATAACTATGAGTGAATGATTCTTAGCTAAGCCTGGGGATGATTCCTCTGCCCATACTCCAGGAAACATAGTTTTTCATTCTTGTGGAGCCTGGCAAACATTATCAACATTGTAACATTGCCATCCATCCTCCCTTTTAGTAGTTACAATCATGATGAGATCTCTTCTTGGGTCTAAATGCAGAGATGCATTTCCTCACTGGGTGAAAGTTATTGTAGCTCCCAATTTGGATAATAAATCTCTTTCTAGTAAGGGAATAGGACCTTCTGGCATATACAAGAATTCATGTTTTACTTTATGTCCTCCAATTTCACATGTCCTTTCATAGCAGAACTGGAGCTTTTTTGAAACTCCAGTGGCATTGATCACTTGGATGCATTTTCTGCTCAGAGGGGTGACTGGAGCTGTAACTACTAAATGTTCTGTGCCCCTGACTGTCCACCATAAAGGACATGTTCTGGCCCCCTATCCTTATATCAACTATGGGCTTGTGGGGATCTAGCTGCATTGAGCCCGGTTTGCATCAGTCACTCTCTTCCATAACAGGCAACAATATGCCAGTGTCCTTCCTTTCCTTTAACTCCTGCTTTTTCTTTTCCTTGAGCCTTGGGCACTTATTCTTATAGTGTCCTTTCTCTTTACAATATGCACACTGGTCAAACTCTAAGTCTTTACACCTAAAGCCTTTTATTCTGTTTTCCCTCTGGTTTCATTCCCTGTCTTTCTCTCTGTCTCTCTCTCTCTTCCTTGGCTCCCATAGCCATTGCTCTCCTCTTATCTCACTCATCTTTTTTTCTTGCTCACTCTCTCTCTCATCAACTCTCTGTTCACATATACTTTCCTAGCTAATTGCAACAGTTGTGTTATACTCATGCCTTCCCAAGTCTCTTACTTCTGAAACTTCCTTCTAATGTCTGGAGCTGACTGAGTTACAAAGGACATATTGATTAACTGACGGTTATCTGGAACAGTAGGGTCAAATGGTGTGTATGTTCTATAGACCTCATGAAACTGCTTGTAAAATTCCCCAGGCTCTCCCTCATATCCCTGCCAGAAGGGCCTTCCAATAATTTTTTAAGCTTTCCTGGCCTACTGGGGTATTGGGATTCCAATCAGGCCTCATATTTGCTGGAAGCTGCTTTCATATCAAGTGTCTGGAGTCTGCATAGCACCCATCATTCTAGCAGCACTAACTTTTTAATTTTTCCTAAAACTCTCTGTATTTTTTAGAGGTTAACAAAGTTCTACAAAGTTTTTTAGAGGCCTCTCCATTAGAACAATGGGTAGCAAAGATGGAATCAAATAATTGAAGCATTTTGGAGGGGTCATGGCAGAGAATAAATGACTTTATTCTCTGTACCAAGCCTCTTTTTATCCTTTTTAAAGTCAAATCTCAAATATCACACCTTGGTCTGACATATTTGCGCCTTTTTCCAACAGTTTTTTTTAACTCACTAAAAAGGAGGAGGTCATATTTTAACCTGTGGATCTTAAACTCTTTGAAGATGACAGATGTACACATATTAGTAACATACTTAGAATTTAACCCTTTGATGACAACCAATGTAAACATATTTAAACTTTTCATAACAAACTTGAAACCAATAAACAAGCATACATATTATTTGATAAATCACTCTTGTACATCTTTTGACATATCTAAACCTTCTGGTCTTGTATATCTCTTTTACCTTTCTAACAAGACAAACATGCAAAATTTCTTACATCAAAACTGCATGTCTTTTACTTATACTGTTTTAGTATTTTTTATCTCACTTACTATAGACCTTTTATCACAAACTTGTCTTTAGCTGATAAAATTTTAATGTGTCCCTTTTTTTGTTCTCAGATTGTTACACTTTAAATTTGGTTGGCTGCCAATAGAACAGTAGTGACCTCGAGTTTTTTTGGTTTTATCAACAAAGTACAGAAAAGAGCAAGTTAAACCCATAATTATAATTGAAGAATTTGCAAAGTACAAGAAATATTTTAAGTACACCAATTAAACATCATTTCAAACTGAAACACAGATACATTTATCAATTAGCTAAAATTTGTAACTTGATTTCTCTTGTAAAATTTCTTACTTTCTTTGGCTTTGTTTTATGCCCTTCAGAGCTTTCTTAGCTGTTTTTAATCCATTATTTATTTTCTTTTTTCCAATTTGAGTGCAAGCCCTATTGGATCCTCTTTGAGACTGACCACAGCATGCACCCGCTTGTGCACTATAGTCAAGCTGTTCTCAGGCTTTTGTCCCCACCTCCTCTGCATCTGTGAATTTAGCAACACAAAAGGAGGGGGAAAGTCTAAATTCTCTTGGTCCAGATCTGAAAGGACTAGTTTCTTTCCCCTATGGTCCTCTTTCTGATGGAGTACCAGGATAAAGATTTTTGCTTCCAGGGCACACATATGAAGCCAAGGAGGCATTCTGTGACACAAGTTCAGCCATGAATCAATACAGGGAAATTGATCTGGAAGTTCCCATCCAGGGGCAGTGACTGTTAGCCAGACAGACCCTCATCTAGGGATCTCTCGGTTGGCCCAGCTGGGCAAAGCGTGGGACATTCTAACTCACAAAAGGCTCTATGTTTTGGGGGTTTCATCTTAATACCATAATTTCCAGTAAAACCTTTCTTAAAATTCATAAACATGCATTTCAAAATAGTAGGATGAGATATTTCTGTCCCCATGATAGCCCAATCAGAGTGTTGGTGTGTGTATGGGTACCCTTGTATGGAGATGCAAGACAAACAAAAGTGGGGTATCAATTACTCACCTGCCTGGCTGCAGGCCTCTCGGCCACTTTAAGGTCCATTCAGGCTAAGATGGACTGTCACATAAGCTCACCATAGTGCCTTTTTAAAATATGACCACAGACTCTCGGGACAGATCTCACACAAATTCTGAGACTCTGGGAAGACTCTTTAAGATCAAGAACATCCTCCCTTTGCCTTGTTCCACATCTTGTTTCACACACTCTCCTATCCACAACTCTTTCATTCACACATTTATTCAGAAGTTATCACATTCCTTCCGGTGACCCCCTAACCATGACCAAAACAAATGAAAGAAGCTACCTCCCCAAATGGCAAAGCACAAGGGGTGATCAGGCCCCTGCACTATGTTTGCCCAAAGTTCGCAAAGTGAACCAAATCAAATGCGAGGAGCTATCTTTCCAAATGGCAAAGCACAAGGGGTGATCAGGCCCCTGCACTGTATTTGCCCAAAGTTACAGAATACAAATTCACAGAGTGAAACTAAAGCAGAACCAAAAGTTAACAACTAGGGGTTTTCCTGGGGTTTCTCACCAAGCAAAGAAAAGAGACAGAGGAGACAACAACAGCAGCAGCCCTCCTTCTGTTGTCTTCTGTCTTGGGTTTGGGCAATCTGCCACTGGAGAGCAGGTCTCTATGTCCTGTTGGGGAGCCTAGGAAATTAGTCCCAGGGGTATGCCATTCCCTTGGAGGAGGCAAAGAGCCACTCCCTCCAGTTGAATTCAGGTAAATGCCCAAAAGGGCCAATTCTTTCCTGATTCCCGATCAGGGAAACAAATGTTCTGGAATCACAGAAAGAAATGCACAGAGACATAGAAGTTGGGTAAAAAAAAACAAAGCTTTACTCATGAGCAGGCAGGACTGTCAGAAACTGGTCTGGTCAGAGTCCACACCCTGTGTTCTTTGTCCATCACCTTTTATACTTTTGTCAGTCATTATCTCATCCCTAGTGGTCTTTGTTAAGTAAATAAAGTTCCAATTCCTGTTTAATGGTTAGACACAGGTGGTTTCTGTCACTGATTACAGTCCTAAACACATGACAGTTAAGGCATATACATCACAAGTTTGTTCAAGGATTCCCAATTTGTTTTTCAGAGCTAGCATGTTATCGATAGTGGAGCTATAGATCAAAGCAGCTATATAAGCTTCACTTTAAACAGCACAAGTAATGGGCTAAGGCAAGCTTTTAAAGGGATACACTACCTGTTTTACCTCCATAACTACTTTAATAGTTAATCTAAATTTACTTTAAAACTTTTCCCTATCAACACAGTTAGAATACATGGACCCTCCTGTAATTCAACAATGATATTGAAAGCACCCAGTAAGAAACAGGCAATGATCTAAGCAGACATTTTTCAAGGAAGATTTACAAATGTCTAAAAGTCCACAAAGTGACACTTCACATGATTTGTCGAGTGTAAAGAAAGCCAGAGTGAGGTAACAGCACCTCCCACAGGAATGGACAGGAGTAAAGGGGTAACAACAAGAGTTGGGGAAGATGTGGATAAATTGCAACCTCCCCAACTCCTCCCTAAACTTTGGGATAGTGTGCAGTTCCACACAAGATTAAATGCAGAGCTATGCTGTGACATGAGAATGCTACCTCAGGTGAACAATTTGATTCTCAAGAGAATTAGAAGCACAGGTCCAGAAAAAACTTGTAAAATGTTCATAGCAATATTGCTCATAGTAGACAAAAGTTATAAAGAAACCACATGTCCACCAATTCATGAATTGATGAACTAAATATGCTACATACAGGGCATGATCAAAATATACAATGAGTGTTTAAAGTTTTTAAGATTGAGTATAATAAAAGACATTGCCATTAATCCCCCTCAGCTCCTCCCCTTTACTTCCAACACCCTCATACTATCCTTTTCCACTTACTGAAGCAGTTCTGGAAGTCCTCTTTTGTGAGTTCTCTGTGAGGTGTGATCAAAAATATGTTAAGTGCTGCTTCCAAGCTTCATCCAACAGAAAGACAGGCCATAAAAACATGAAGCTGTGTCCTCATCCATCTTAGTCACCAGATCTGACATCTTGTGACTTCAGCTCTTCCACAAAGTCAAAGTGATCATGAAATGTAAATGTTTTGAAGCAATTCAGGACATGAAGGCAAATAGCAGAGCACAACCACACTCCCTCACAAAAGAGGCCTTCCAGAGCTGCTTGAATGTGACAAAAATGGTTGGATAAGTGCCTTGCAAGGCTTGGGAAGATACTGAGGGGCGTTCATTCCAATGTATCTTTTACTGTGATAATCTTTCTAAATTTGAACATTCTTTGTATATGTTGATCACATCATATTATGTTATTTGACTATAAAGCAAACTGAAGTTTTGATGTATGCTACAGCATGGATTCCCTAGAAAAATTACAGCAATTTGAATAAAGACAACCACAGAAACCTCATATTCTAAGGTTCACTGATATCAAAATCCAGAAAAGGAAAAACTACAAAGGAGTAGATTAGTGGTGGCCTAGTGTTGGGCTGAGAGGAAAGTGGGAGAATAGGAGAGAGAGAGGAGTGGATACAGGGCCTCCTTTCCAAGCTGATGAAAGTAATGCCATGAACAAAGTAAGCAAGACAAAAGTAAAGGAGAAGACAGTAATCTGAGTTGCAGAGGCCCATAACTTGATTTATACGAGGATGACTTAAGGTAACTCTTTGGAAATAAAAAGGTTACATTTTTCTCAGAAAAAATAAGGTGATGAAACTTGTCACATTTATATGAATTGAATAATTGTAATCTAGGGACAGAGTCTCCAGGGATAAATATTCTGATGCCAGTTTTCCTTCCAAATGGGAGCTCTGGCCCACCCCCTTGATGCAAGCACACCTATTTAAGTACCCTGGTCTCTTTGTTTTTAGGAGCCTACATAATGTAGCTGCTGTCAGCTTCTTTTGCACCATCTTTATTAGGTATTTGAAGACTTAGACTTTCTAGGTCCTCAATCTATTTGGCTGTCCTTTTCTATGGCTCAGAGACTGAAGCAAAATTATGCCAATATGATGCAATTCCATTCTTAATGCAAGGTGCCCTTTCCTTTTCTGAATCCCTACATTCTCCCAACCTCTGCTTTCTCATCTCCTCTTTGCTTCACTTCATAACACAGCCTGTCTTCAGGCTGCAATGCCCCTTATTTGTCCACACTTATTAGATGAAAAGAAATGCAGAATGAAAACATTTACTCATTTACTTACATAAAATTTTTCTCTGAAGAGCAGGTACTTGATCTTCAGTTTCAGGCCATCAGATTTGGTGAAGCTACAGTGTAAGGTAAGTAACTTGGAGGAATTTATGTTCATTAGTCACAAGATGTTTTAAATATGAGACTCAACTTCCTGGAAACTGGTTCAAACCAAGGAAATACTGTAAATTTGTCTCAGCATTCTATGATAGCTACTTATGAATCTGTGACACTCATGAATTTTATCTTCTGACCTCATGTCTGTCAGCTGCTGTCCTCACACACTGTGTCAGGATCTAGATGATTTCTCACTCAGGCTTCTTCCAATATAAGACTTAGCAAGGTTTTCATCATCAGAATGGGATGTTCACTTGTATCATTTAAAAATGTCCTTGAGAGAACAATGTATCTAATCTGCACTGTTCATCCTCCCCAGGTAACAAAAAATGTCTCCAAAGGTGGCTCAGGTGTAAGATTTTCCATGTCTTGCTCCAGGAAAACACTGTCCACACTTTCTTATTCAGTATGTAGGCGGCAGATAGGGCAGGCTTGTGAGTGGTCTGCCAGACACACAGGCACCTATGGCCCCAAACCTCATTTAAAGCTCACAACATTACATGTTAAACCCCAAGGCTAAGTAATGTCCAGGGGGAGGAGGAGGTGGGGGAAGACCACAGTTCCAATTTGCTTGAGAATTAGCAGAGAAGGGGATCACAACCTTGGCCCACTTTCCAAGTGAGGAACAGTCCCTTTGCTTAGCAAAATCTATCACCCTAGCTTTCCAAATGATTTCATTTTAGATGTCTTCCTTTGTACAATTAAATGTGAGACTTTAGATGATGAAATTATATTCTATTAGGGATTAAATGGCTTTTAGTGATGCTGACTATTTATCTCCATTTTTCGGGAACATCTCCTGTCTATGTCAGTTTTAGACTCACAGACTTCTGAGTGAGATAGTCACCAAGGTCGGTGCCAACTCTTGACATAAAACAGTGTTTTACAGAAAAGTCACAACATAAAAAAAGAAAAGAAAACTGATTCCTGGCTCTTGGTTCTGCTATTATTGAGAAAATAATTATGGAAAACACAGGGTAAGAGTCCAACAGTTAATTATTACTTCTATTACAACTTTGCTTGGAACTTATCTGACACTCCCTTGTCTTTATGCTCACATTGCTTTTCCTACTAGAACCTGTGTATCCAGCATGGGTAAAAGCTGTTTTGTTACTGACAAGGTCTTCCTGTATGTCCTGTCCATACTAACCACTCTGGGGCAGAGGTGTAGGCTCTTGACAGGCTGAAGATAATAGCTGAGGATAGTGTGCAAGACATGGGGCTACTGAAACTTACTGACAGCAAGGGTCTGGGTGGCTGGCTGGCAGGTAGTACTGTGCACCTTGTCACTGTGGAAGGAGGGTCTACAGCCTCAGCTTGATGAGCATGGGCATCCTTGGCTGGCTCTGTCCCTGTGTTTGCCCAGCATTCCAAGGAACAGCTGCCTTTGGCCCAAGTGCTGCAAAGAACACTTCATACAGATCGCACAGCACAGCCAGTTCCCAGTGTACATGAGAGGGAGGTGGGCTCCTCTGGGCCCTCTGCACCTGCTTCTGCTGCCCCTTAGGTGCCCAGTGTGGTGGGAGTGGAGTGAGCCAGTCCAGTCAGGTGGTGTCTGATGCTCTCCTCATACTTATCAGGGATCACACAGGACTGCATCAACAAAAAGTCTGCCAGGCCTCAGCACAGTCCTCCTGCTATCACTGACTCGAGTTCTTCCCTTCTCTGAAGAACTAGAGATCATGACTCATCAGCATGATCTTGAGCAACAAATTCATTATACACCTGGCCTTACAGAAAAATCCATAGTTTTACAATTTTTTGCAAAGGCCACAATAAATTCTAAATATATGAAAATACTATACATTTTTTAAAATATGATAATTGAACTAAAATATTAGCCATATGCCTTGATGGTGAATAAATTTCCCAAATGAACTCAAAGTACAAAATGACAAGTTAAATATTTTAACTACCTAGATATTTAAAATTTTCTTGGTCTAGAAATTAAATTCACAGTTATAGGCAATACTTGTTGTAAAATAGTTGCAGCAAATATTACACACAAAAGAATATCTTCATTCTGTAAAGAAAAAATGCTAATTTTGAGAAATCTTGAATATACCAAAGAGTAGATTTCATGAATAATCAAATCCCAAAATAAGTTATA